CCTCCCGCAGTTCACTTCGGGCCTCGATGTCCGAGGGATTGCGGTCGAATCGGTCGTCTCTGCGGGGCAGCGGTCGGTTGGTGACACGGCGAGCCGTAGAGTGCAGGGGCACACCGCCCCCCACACCACCGCCACGCAGCTGAGGCGCCAGTCGCTGTTTGCCGGGCAGAGGATCGTCGCCATCGTCGGCCCTTGTGGCATCAGCCTGGTCGCCATGCCTCTTCGCCCCTCCCTCTGACGTGTCCAATCGCTCCATCATCTGTCTGTGCGCAATGGCGGCCTCCTTAGCACCCTCGAAGCCGAGCTCAGCGACGGAGAAGGACTTGCGCTTCTGCTTGCCGTTCTCCTGCCAGCTGGCCTTCCGTGCCTTTTTCGTCTCGTCGTAGGTCACGCCCTTGACGCCGCTCTGATGCTTGGATCGCTCCTGCACGGATGCCCGGCCGCTGCGCTCCATCTCACGACGATACTGCTCGGCCAACGCCTGAAGCCAAGAGAAAGTAAAAACAAGGTGTGTGGCGCCTCTCGGCTTTACTCCCTCCCACCTTTGCTTTGTCGAATCCGTGATGTTTCATGTAGAAGCACTTGTGCTTCTGCTTGCCGTCGTTCTTGCTGCGCCAGTACGCTTGCCAGTATTGACCCCGCTCACACCAGTATACGCCATGCACGGCTGACTGATGCTCGGCAGGTTTGCCGATGACGGTCTTGCCCGTGCCGGCCTCGGCTGTCTTGCCGCCCTTGCGCTTCTGCGGCTCCTTCTTGGCCCACAGACCTGAGAGAAAACAACACAGGCACCCAAAATGGATGGGTGCTCGACAATAGGAATGGTGTGGTTGTCTACCTTTGTCGTCGGGAGCCTCATTGTGAGGTGGGTGAGCTGCGCCACCACCACCAGCAGCAGCAGCAGCAACAGCGAGGGTCATGGACGAGGGACCGGGGGCACCGACGGGCGGTGAGCCATTGACGGGGGAAGGGACGCCAATCAACCCTGCACACATGGAAAGACGAACACACACACAATGATATACGTTAAAGTCCCCAAGTCTCCCTTGTTTCAGCTCTAGCCTTACCTGCAGCAGGTTTCCACTGAGTCACGGTCCGCTCGACGCCATCGATGACGTCAGACACACTCTCAAAGCGATCGTCGGTGTCTGCCGTGCCGTTGCGGACGGCAACCAGCAGGTCGCTCAGCATGTTCGTGTTCCACCCCCTCCCGCCGTGGTGACGGCTGACAACCGCCCGCACCCACACCGGAGGCCGATTGTCCCCCTCCCCCCGCCATGCCGTCACCACATACCGCTGACCGTCGCCCTCGCCGGCCACACTGAACTCCACACCCTCGTACTCGGCGAAGTAGTTGCGGTGGCCGGGGGTGCCCTTGTTGTGCAACACATCCGACAAGGGGATCGGCCGGCGGCTTGACGGCCGCTCGTTGTTCCGAGCTTCTTTAGGAGACCCTTCACGTGAGCGGGTGCCGCCACCTTGCTGCTTCTTCGGATAGGGTGGTGCGTGATGCTGGTGAGTGGGCGACGGGTGCTGTCCTCCTGTGTTGGTGTTGTCGAGTGATGGTGTTGTTGCGAGGGCAGGTGGGTCGGCAGGTGGTGGCGAAGGGGTCTGGCTCTCTGAAAAGGGGGATGGGTGGGGCTTGGCGGCTGTCTTTGGTGGACAGACTGGGGGAACAGCCGCTGCTGCTTCATTCTGCCGCGGCTGGCTTGCTGATGCCGCATGGGAGTGAGAGCCGGCAGCCAGCCGCTGTGCAAGGCCCTGTGAGGGTGGGTGAGGCGCCTCAGTGGGATGAACAGACGGACCAGGAGCCGACAAGGCCGCCTGCATTGCTGGCACCGTCGCGACTCCGGGATTGGCTTGGACGGTCGCCGCAATGACCACCTTGGGGGATTCTATGGACGGCACAGACAGACAGACAGACATAGAAGTGCCTGTGACAGCGTGTATGCGTGCGCATGAGCGTACCTTCTGCTGGTGGTGCCGCTGCTGCTGGTGGTGGTGGTGGTGGTGGCGGTTGCGGCTGTGGTTGCTCATGGGCCGGCTCAGATTCTGCGTGACGACCTGCACGGCACACACACATGTGGGTAGGGTAGATGTGTGGTGTGGATGGGATGAGCAGGTGCCCTTGTGGCATTCATTCAGCGAGCACTCACTCACCTGTGGCATCCATGTCCTTCTGCTGGTGCTGGTGCTGGTCAGGGGGGGACGCTGCACACACGCATACACAAACACGTGTGCGTCACATGGGCGTGTCTGCGTGTTGGTGTTGCTGTGGATGCTCACCTGGTTTCTTGACGTCGAATCGCCGGCGCTTCGGTGCCATCAGTGGCTGGCTCTCTGCAACAGCAGAGGACACACCCATCCATACACCCATGTGTGTGTGGTGGAGTGGGCACCCACGTGTGCTGCTTCCTCCCCCTTGATCCAGCTGCTTCTTGTCGACAAGTGGCGGAGAATCTGAGACACACACACACACACACACACACACAATCCATCCTTTTGGCCAGTGGGGTGTGTGGGAATTATATTGCGTGCCTGGAGGTTTCCCGACGTCGAATCGGCTCCTCCGTAGCACACGAGCAGGGATCACCACTGCACACACACACACACACACACACACACGCACGTGTGTCAACGCACAGCAGTGTATGTGTGTGTGTGATTTGGTAGGTACCAGTGGGCGGCGCTGGCGGCGCTGGTGGTGACTGGACAGAGCCCAAAAGAGGCGACTGGACAGGCACAGATGAACGGTGGGCCTGATGCACCTCAGATGCTGATTGGGCCGCGCCGGCAGCATGTGAAGACGACCCATGAGTCGCTGAGGCCGCCTGCATAGCCAGAGCCCGAAAGCTGTCCTCACCTGCCGATGCTGAGAAGCCGGCAGGAGTATGAGTGGGCTGACTGGCCATCGTCACTTTTGTTGCTGCCGTCGCTTCAGCTTGCTCATAGGCCCTCCCCTGGCGCCGTCATGGGCACAGATAACGGTAGATGCGGTGTCTGACGTTGACTCGATGAAGCACGTCTGTTGAAAACCGCCAGATCTCTGCTCAATTGTAGGAGATCTGCGGAAGAGCTGGACTCTATGCCGCTGGCGAGGTCCTAAAACGCCTCAATCACTCGGGAATTGCAAGCTTTTCTGCGAGCTCGGAAAAGGCGGAAAGAGAAGTGGATCTTTGCGACTCTTTGCAGCAGCAGCGATGGTGGAGTACTCCATTATCTTGCCGACGTATAATGAGCGCGACAACCTGCCGCTGGTCATCTGGCTGATTGTGAGTGAGCTGCAGAAGGCGGACATCGGCGATTGGGAGGTGGTGGTGGTGGACGACAGCAGCCCTGACGGCACGGCAGACGTCTGCAGACAGCTGCAGCGCATCTACGGCCACCGACACATCCGTCTGCATGAGCGGCCCGGCAAGCTGGGCCTCGGCACTGCCTACCGCAGCGGCCTGGAGGTCGCAAAGGGCGCCTTCATCATTCTGATGGACGCCGACCTGTCGCACCACCCCAAGTTCATCCCCCAGTTCATCGACATGCAGCGGACCACACAGGCCGACATCGTGACGGGGACGCGCTACAAGGGGAGGGGCGGCGGTGTGTATGGGTGGGACATGCGGCGCATCCTCACGAGCCGTGTGGCCAACTACCTGGCGCAGGTGATGCTCAGCCCCGGTGTGTCGG